ATACATGATTTCATTTTTTAAAAAAATAGGGTAAGTATTTTGAATTAATTTCACTCTAAAGGCATTATGTTACTTTTTTCTGAGTGACTAGCCAAGTGTCCAAACACATCCTTTCCTCACTGATTTGAAATGCTTTTTTTAAAAAAGCAAATGCTATATCCCATATGTATTTGACCTTGTTTCTGGATTCTGTATTCTATTCCATTGATCTGTCAGTACCCAAACCCTTTCCATTTCTGCAGTAGTTACTATGGTTTTATAATATGTTTTAATATTTGGTAGAGCTAGTTTTTCTTTTTTATTTAAAGAATCTCTGGCTATTAGGAAGGTTAGCTTGTTGTAACCAAACCTGGATCAACTTTGCTGTTCTTGCAGCAAATTAACAAAAACAAAAAAACTATTGTTTCTTTACTAAAAACATACTGAATTTGTCATTTAAAGTGGACTGCATGCTTCCAAAATTGAGTCCTTCAATTCAAATCTTTTTGTAAGCTTCCCAGTAGATATTTAAGTTAGGCTTGTACATTTCATATTGCATTTATTTCTGAGTAGTATTATTTTTGCTAGTACAAATAGGATTTTTATTATATTTTCTGACTGGTTATATTTTTATGTAGAAAAACAGTATTTTTAACTTTTTATTGTGTTTTGGGTGCAATTTTACAAAGCAGATTCATTTTATATTCAAGAGTTCCTATGTATTTTGTTATGTGACACTGATCACAATCCCCACAATGTAACAGCTACCTTTCCACCTCCTCCCTGTGGTTACCCCTTGTGGTAGTTATATTTGTGTGTCAACTTGGCTGGGCCTGGTTGAGTGGCTGGGCAGCTGGTGGTAGTTATTGCCCATGATGAGACTGGCAATCAACTCCATGATAGGATCTACCACAAGCAGCTAAGTAGCTGCCTTTGGGATGTGGTCTGCTTCCCATATATAAGTAGCAGCTTTGGGAATGGTCTCTAGTTTATGGCACACTTGGACCCTGCATGTAGTCCTGTCATTGCTCAGCAGCCAACCTTGGGACCTACAATGGACTTAAGTTAATGGCCTGCTGTGTGGTTTGGTAACGTCGGGACTGTGCCTTGTTACTTTCCAACCTTGGGGCTTCTCAGCCTCAGCAGCCAGCAGCTGTCTGAGTGAAGAAATGCCTCTAGCTCCAGTGGGCCAGAATAGGAGGCAGAGCTGCACCCCAAGGTTGAGGAGCTTTCACCCAGCCCCTAGAGCCTGGCACTTTGAACTTGGACTTAAAGCCTCCAAATTGTAAGAATAAACTCCTGTTTGTTAAGGCCAT